TCCTCGCTGGATAGCAGAGACACAGTGGACAAGAGAGCTCCAGACATCTTGGGCATCTGCAGTGTTAGTACCCAGCATCTCCGTGGCACGTGTAATAGAGACCATGCTATGAGTTGACCACAACATGTAGTCTTCCAGGAGACACAGGATGACCCCCTTTCCCACCCTCCCTTAAAATTAGGCTGGACCTAGGACTGCTTTCTGGACAATGGGGCGTGGGCAGACGTGATACAAAGGCTTTTCCAGGCCCAGCCCTTACAGCTTTATTTTCCCTTTTTGATGGTACAAAACATGGCTGCATTGTGGACTAGGCCTAATTGATCTGCATTGGCATGGATATCAACTAGGAAGAAACCTTTGTTGACTTAAGGCCATTGAAATTTGAAGGTTTATTTGTTGCCATAGACAGGCCAAGACCATCCTGACGAATACGGCACCTCAGCCCTCCCGTTTAGCGGTGGAACGCTATTTCTGAATGCTACTAACTAGTAAATATACGTTGCCAAATATTCACCAAGCAGACTTCTCTCCAGTCTCATGACTGGTCAAGGCAGCCAGGACAGGGATTGAGGAATTGCCGCAGGTCGTGTCTAATCTGTCTCAGAATGAGAAAGACTCTCTGAAGCGATTGCTTCCTTGTGTAAACACTGTTTTAGAAATGAGAAAATTCTTTCCTGTATTTCTAGAGCAGAAAAGGAAGATGGTACCCTGGGAGGTTGTGGTAGCATACTGATGAATAGAATAGGCTCTGGAGGTGTGTCGCCTGAGTTTGTATTCAAGGTCTGATATTTACTAGTTGTGTGACCTTGGGCAAGTTGTTTACCCTTCCTTTTCCTTCCTTCCCTCCCCACACCCCCCACAACTTTTCAGCATAAGCTATTGTATCAGTTCGTTATTTCTGTGTAATAAACCAACTCAAAACACTGCAGCTCAAGAATAATAAGCATTATTCTTGCTCACAAGTCTAGGTATCAAGTGCATGGCTTTTCTGGTCTTGCTCATGCATCTGTGCTCAGTTGTAGGTCAGGCAGGTGGCTCTTGATGTCAGACCAAGGCAATTTTATCCAAGCTGTAGCCCTACCCTACTCAAAATCCTCTAGAAAATTCCCAAGCACTTAGAACTATATCTAGACCCTCACCCTGGCTGACAGAGCTGTTCAAGAAATGGCCCCTACTGCCCCTACTTCTTTTCTCTCAACTACCCTGTTTCCCCAAAAATAAGACAGTGTCTTATATTAATTTTTGCTCCCAAAGATGCGCTAGGTCTTATTTTCAGGGGATGTCTTATTTTTCCATGAAGAAGAATACGGTACACACTTATTGTTTTATTAAAATAGACCTGCCACTTCCTTTCTGCTCCGGCTGTGCTGGGGCCAACAATGAGCTGCATGGTGGCACCCGCCTCTACGGTCCAGAATCCAGAGTTACGGTAGCTTCGGGGGGGACTTATTTTCGGGGAGGTCTTATTTATGGGGGGATGCCTTATATTTCAGCGAGAGGCAAAACTGTAAGTAGGTCTTATTTTCAGGGGATGTCTTACTTTCGGGGAAACAGGGTACTACTGTTTGTTGTAAGGCATTTTATTGCATTAGCCTTTTATCTCTTCCTTGTGGACACCAAATCTATTCCTCTTTTGCTTCCTCATTCTGTACCTCCCTTTATCTGTAGCTTATTTTACCCTAATTTTCCCACAATCGGCCCCTTCTTGCCATCCAGGTTTGAATTCAAATGCCATTCTTTTGATACATTTAGAGATTAGATGTCTAGAGGCGTGTTTAGTGTAAAGGCCTCAGATGGAAAAAGTAGACTCTTTTCTAGATGGTTAGTCTTCTTCCCATGACAGAGACAGAGTCTGTAGAAGTCTCAGAAAAAGCACAACACACCGTTCTCGTTATTCTGGTCAAAGAAGTGACAAAACCAGGCCAAATTCAAGGCGCAGGAAATGGGGACCACCTGTTTTCAAGGGCAGAACCCCTGATGGTATAGTGGCTAAGTGTTAGACTGCTCCCTGCAAGGTCAGCAGCTCAAAACTGCCAGACACACCCAGGGAGAAAGAAGGCACTTTCTAGCCCCATCAATAGTGACCGTCTTGGAACGATCCCCTGTCCTACAGGGTTGCTATGACATGACGTCAACTAGATGGCACTGAGTTTGTTTGTTTTATTTTGCTCTACCGTTTTTAGGGGAGAGGAGAAATCATATTACCAAGAGAGAGGCTGCAGGAAGGCCATGGACCATTGAACAATACAGTTTCCATAGTTATGATGAGGATTAACTCATATAAAATACTTAGCAGATTTCTTGGTTTATACCTATCTGCAAACCCTGCTGGGACTTTGTCATGAAGACACAGAGGACACAAAGTGAGGAGAACAGGGAAGTTTCTTCTCAAGCGCTGACTCCAGGAAGATGGGACTGCTACTGAAGCCTGGTACTAGGGGTCTTCAAAAGGTTTGGAAAAATTCCCTTACCTTTGAACTCTGTTTTTCCCATGAACTTTTAGAAGCATCCTCATAAAGACCCAGCAGAAAATGGTGCCATAATTAGCTGTCAAAATTGGCTATGGGAACTGGAGTTAGAATTAACAACACAAATTATTGCTATTGCCATCCCAGATCTAGAACAATGCCACCAATTCCTGGGGTTCTGAAGTTGCTTTGCCAAGTTACCTACTTTATTTTCTGGCCCTTGAACACCGTGCACTGAAGTACATCTGGCTACCCCATGCCCCTTAGGACCTAGCCCCAGAGGTTGAATTAATTTCTCCAGGTGCCTTATCATCCATTCACAACCTGTTTTTACTTTTCAGTGGTTCAAATTACTCCCAGATGAGGGCACCTCAACGCTGAAGCCTGTTGAGTTAGGGTCAAGCCCATGGTCGCTGGTGACTTCATTAAAGGGTTGGATGGCCTCGGGGATTGACCTGCTTCTCTCTAGCTCTATGAATCTTTTATTGGTGATGATAAGATGGGAACCAAGACTAATAGGGATTGGAACTAAAGATAAAAGGGGTTGGGGGAGGAGACTCAAGAAGCCCCGTTAGCATTTTCACAATTAGGTGTGATTTTACTTAGGATATTAATAACTATTTGACTAGGTAGTATAGAGAGCATACAAGCGTATGGGTGCTTGCATCAAACTGCTTACGTCTGAGTTTTGGCATTTCCAACGACAAGCTGTGTGACCTTAAGATAGCTCCTTAACTCATGCTTTAGGCTCCTCAACGATAAAAATGAGGAAAATGACCTTTTCTACGGCAGAGGAATGCTCTGAAGATTAAATGAAATAATTTATATAAAATACTTAACATACTGCATGGGGGATAATTACAATTTAGTAATTAATTTAGTAGATGTCAGTTACTGTGTTAAGTACTTTAATATTATCTCATGTAATATTTAAAACTGACACTGAGGTAAATTTTGATATCCCCATTTTCCTAATGGAAAATCGAGGCACAGAAAGTTATAAATGACCTTCACGTCAGCCCTCAGTGACACTGAATGGTGAACACATGTGCAGTGGAACGAAACACTCCCCAGGCCTGAGCCCCCGCCAGGATAAGCTATGATTCAGATTCTGGTGATCCATAGGATTTTTTCATCAGTTGATTCTCCAAATTAGATTGCAAAGCCTCTCTTTCTAATCCATTTTAGTTGGAAAGCTCTGCTGATACCTGTTCAGCAACATGCAAGCCTCCACTGACAGACGGGGGGTGGCTGTGCCTTAGGTGCACCGGCTGAGAATCAAACAGGGTCTATTTCATGGAAGACATGAATTCTACCACTGAACCACTGAAGCTATGAGGCAGAGATAGATTCTGTATATTGCTCAGAGTGACACTGCCAATAAGTGGCAGAGCCAGGATTCAAACCAAGGCCTATAAATGCTTTCTCCAAGAAGGGGGTATCTATAATAAACTCTTTTATCTACACAAGTCAAAGGGAGCTGTGTGGTAAAAATAAAACAAAATAAAAAGCAGGCCTGAGATGTAATCCTACTAGCTGTTCAGCTTTGGGAAAACCACCTTCCCTCTCTGCCCTTAGGGCTCTTGGGATAAACCTGAGAGATCCCGGTACTGAGATTCCAAGAAGCAGACCTGACTCTCCCACCACTTGCTGGGCCTGTGCCAGCAGCATAGGTTCTCCCCTTGGCAGCCACCATCTCTCAAAGTGTCCTCCTCCTTCTCTGTCTTCCCAGAACCCAGGGATACAAGGGCAGCATCTCTCCCAGGGTAACAGCAAGGAGAGGCTGCCTCTGGCCTCACCTTCTTTTGTCCCTGATGTTCCTTTCTTTTCTGCAGCCAGGTCTGCGTCACCTCTGATATCAATTCGAGTGAGACATTTAGCAAGGGAGAACAAAATGAAACCAAAGCACACACACACACACACACACACACACACACACACACACAAACCCCAAATGCACTTATTGAATTGATTCTGATCGTGGATAATTTACGTGTGCAGAATAGAATGATTCCACACACTTTTCTGTGACGTCTTGGAAGCAAAGGACAAACCTTTTATCTGAGGTGCTTCTGGGTGAATTTGAATGGCCACCCTTTTTTTAGTACCTCTCTCACACTCTCTCTCTCTTACAGACACACACAAACACACACTCATAGTGGGCAAATTAACCACTTGGAACACTCAGGGTTTCCTAGCAAGTAAGGAGGGACCCCACAAATGTTTAGAGGATTTAGTTGAAATGAATATTACATGGAGATACAATGATCGAGTGAATTATGCCACTTTAATTAGCAGATATTTAAAGCAGATTGGTTTCCTCTGGAGAAATTTCTTTCGAATTCCAGTCCTCGGGTCAGTCTGAGCCCAGTCCCTCCTTCTTCCTCCTCTGGCAGGAATCTGTCTGTTGTCCTCTCGCTGTAGCTGGCTTTCCTCAACCTGGGATCTTTATCTTCCCAGCAGAAGAAAGGAATTTATTAAAACGTTCACTGCATCCTGAATTGAGAAATCAGCTGCCCGGGATACGTGATCAATATGTTGTCTCTGTGATGAAGTGCTTCCATGGAAGATGCTCCTCTTGTTCCTTTCATGGCTGAGAGCACCCAGAGATCGAGGTGAGATTCAGCCATCAGGTGCTCTGATTGCAGCGAGCCTCTCCAGCCTCCCTCAGCTGCTGGCCTTCCCGGATGTGCAATGCCTGGTACAGGCTGGGGCAGGGTCCTAACCTCCAGTGACTCAGCTGTTTGGAGAGGAGAAAGAGGAAGGAGAAGGCTTCAGAGGTAGAGCTATGCAGTAGGTACTAGGGATGGTGGTATGCTGTGATGTTTATTTGTTTGTTTGTTTCTATTCATTCTGAGATCATATCTAACAGAGATTCTAGCAGCAGGTTTGCTCCCTGTGACATTAAAATTCATCAGCCAGACTACCCTCCCAGCTCACACTTTGGAGGACATGCACTGCTGGGATGTCACACTGTTTTGTTCATTTGTTTCCTCATAATCTCCACTAGTTGGTGGCTGTCTTCTGCCTGACTGGCTCGTTTGCTGCCGCTTCCTTGCCTTTTCACACACTCTCTGTCTCATGCCCTCAACTTGCTGTATCTGTGATGCTCTGGGGTCTCTGTGGAGACCTGCTCTGATCCCCCAGTTACATATCTGGGGACACTGAGAAGTCAAAGAGTGAGGCTGCATCTGGAAGGGTCCATGGGCCCTCCAGTCTCAGTGACCAAATATCTGGCTGTTGGCATAGATAGCAATATCCACCCTACTTCTTACTACCTTCCCATGACTGACAAAAGAGCCTTGCAACCCCTAGGCCCAAGGTCAGCCCAAAAGACAAGAGCAGTTCTGGGAGGGCTGGGGGTAGGAGGGACGGGCTTTAAAGCACAGTTTTACAGTGGTAATATTACCGGTGCCAGCTCTGGAAAGAATAGGTATTGCAAATTCAGGTGCTGGCTCCTAACTGTGTTTGCACGTGTATTCACAAATGTTCGTGAATGTGTGTTGGCGTGTGTGTGTGTGTGTGTGTGTGTGTGTGTGTGTGTGCGCACGCGCTCTCACGTGTTGGGAGAAGGCAGAGGTCCATGCTGCTGGATCATGAGCAATGCATCAGGTGAAAACTAGAACGCAAGGCAAGTGTTCTGGTCAGTTATTGATGCATTACAGAATACTCCTAAAACTTAGTAGCTTTTAGTGCACTTGTTGTTCCCTTGTCCCTGGGTTGGTTGAACCCTCTTCCTTTCTGCCACCTCCCCTTCTCCCATGCCCTGCCCCCCAAACCACTGGTCCCATTGTTTTCTTCTCTGAATTGCTTATTCTCCCTATCTTATCTAGACGACATGCAGATATATTAATAAGCGCAAAAACAAGGCAAAGCCAAACAAAACAACAAAGACAAAACCAACAACAACAACAAAAATACAAAAACCACCACCAACAAAATAGCACAAAGAAAGTCAATGACAAAAAAGGAAAAGCCTATAAATGGTTCCAAGTGTGTTGTTTTTAAACTTTAGGGGTGTTTTCCAGTTGAGTCTGATAGGGTGCCATACTTTGTCCCCAAAGTCTATTTTTGGTATTCCTGTGGCCTTCATTGCTTTGCTCCCCTTTATGCTCTGTTGCATGCCCTTAGTGTTTCTCCCCAGTATGATGGGCAAAACAAGCACAATTCCCACTCTGTAGGGTGTAGGATGCCTAGTGGAGCTTAATCAAGGGCAATGTAACAGTGAGGGATGACTGAAACCCCATTGAAGGCTGAACATATTAGTAGGACAAGAGGAAAGTAAACGGAAATAGATCAAAGAACTAGGAGGCAAAGGACATTTATAGAGGTCTAAATACAGGCATGCACATATGTAAATATATTTATATAAAACGATAGGGAAAGAGATCTATAGTTATATATATAAAGATATCTATATTTATATATATAAATATATTTATATATAATGATAGGGAAAGAGATCTATGTACTTATGTTAAGTATTAAGTATGTTAAGTATTTTAAGTATGTTAAGTATTAAGGTAGCAAATGGACATTGGGCCTCAACTCAAATACTCCCTTAAGGCAAGAACACTTTGTTCTAATAATCCAGCATTCAGTGATTCTCACCTTCCCAATAGGATGGCTGAAGACAAAACGGGTGCATAAGCAAATGTGGTGAAGAAAGCTGATGGTGCTCACTTGTCAAAGGATATAGCATCTGGGGTCTTAAGGGCTTGAAGATAAACCAGAGGCCTTCTAGCTGAGAAACAACAAAGCCCACATGGAAGGAGCACACCAGCTTGTGTGATTATGAAGTGTTGATGGAATCAGTATCAGGCAACAAAGACCCAGAACAAAAATCATACCAATGTGAATTGGTGGGTGAGGGGTAGGGGGCAAAGAGTGGAGATCCAAAACCCATCTGTAGACAATTGGACATCCCCTTACAGAAGGGTCACAAGGGAGAGATGAGCCATTCAGGGCGTAGTATAGCACTGATGAAACATACAACTTTCATTTCGTCTTTTAACGATTCCTCCCCCCCACTATCATGACCTCAATTCTACCTTACAAATCTGACTAGACCAGAACATGTACACTGCTACAGATAAGAGCTCACAACACAGGGAATCCAGGGCAGATAAACCCCTCAGGACCAACAATGAGAGTTGAGATACTAGGAGAGTAAGGGGAAGGTGGGGGGAGAAGGGGGAATTGATCACAAGGATCAACATATAACCCCCTCTCAGGGGGACAAACAACAGAAAAGTGGGACAGATGTAAGATGTGAAAATACTAATTTATAATTTATCAAGGGTTCATGAGGGAGAGTGGTGGAGGGAGGAAAAATTGAGCTGCTATCAAGGGCTCAAGTAGAAAGAAAATGCTTTGAAAATGATGATGGCAACACATGTACAAATTTGCTTGACACAATGGATGTTTGTATGGATTGTGATAAGAGCTGTAAGAGCCCCCAATAAAAGTATTTAAAAAAATGCAATTTAGCAGCTTAAAATTACCACATGTTTTTACTTGTGTAGGAATCTGCTGATCTAGGCTAGTCTACTGGAAAGGACTTCTTCCATATACCTACCATTCTCCATGGACAACCTGGTTCTTGAGGACATGATCTTCTCAGGATGACACCTGAGATTCAAAGAACCAAGTAGAAGGATATAAATCCCATGATGAGGCCAGAGCAAGAACATGGCACAAGTGAATATGAATTGAGGATAATGATTGAATCACCACATTCTTATACATGACATTTGTCCATGTCACCCATATAATAGTACAAGATGAAACTTCTTACCTGCATTGTAAACTAACTTTCTCTTAAGGTGCTCACCTTGCAATTTATCCCTATGTGAGTGGGATTTAGGGGGCTTTGACTAAAAGCACCACCTCTCTCAGACCACTTTGTGACCTTTGAGGGTGCTCAGAGTCTGGGGCTCTCAGGGCTGGGCAGTATTTAGCCCTACAGGGCTAGTAGTGATCGTAGTGATCTGAGCATTGAGTATGGGGGTGGGTGGTAGATTGGTCTCTGCTTTCTGCTATCAATGCCACTGTAGGAAAGTGCTTTTAGTTCATTTAAATTTCCTTTGATGCTGTGAGGAGAGTACAAGGAAATATCAATTGTCTCAGCCTCAGAGTCAAGTATTTAGTATTCTACCTCCTCCCTGGCTCTTCCTATCTTATCAATATGGCTTGCATTTCTTGTGCTAGAAAACTACAGTCTTCCTGCGTTCTATTTGGTTGCAGATACGTGTCCAGTTTTGACTGCCCAGTATCTGAATATCTGTGGTATGGTTGAGGCATCTCCCACCATACACAATTTCAAAGGAAGCAGACCCTACATTCCACTACAAAAACCAAATACTTCTCTGGCCTCCCTTGGAATAAAGCCTGCATATTTGACCCACGCTTTATCAATCGTCTGTACCCACGTCAAGTTTTGTGCTGTAAGCGGCTGGCATGAGAAGAAAGTAAGGGAAAGGGATGTCTTGGGAGCAGCAGCAGCAGCAGCATCTCTATGGTCTCCCCAAGGGCAGCAATGACAATGGAGCAAGTGGTATCTCGGTGTCTAGTGTGGCGGGGATGTCTGCAGCATCCATTGAGTCGAATCACCAGAAGAAGCCGAGGTCTGTGGTAAGATTGCAACAATGATATGGCTGCCCTAACAGGACGGACTGATGAAAGAAGTTAGCATGCTCAAATGTCAAGAAAACCGCGAGGAACTACTGTACCCAGAATGAAGGCTGAACATGGTATTGGGATAGGAGGAAGCTGCAAAGAAATAGAGGAAAGAAGTAGGAGGCAAAGGGCATATATACAAGCCTAACTACAGCCATGTACATATATAAATATATTTAAGATTAAGGGGGG